TATTGATCATAATGTACAATTGTGTGCATTATTGCAACTTATTTTGTATACGGATTGTTCATCAACAATCTGCCGGTGGATACGACTGAATGATTGGACATTCAATCAAAGTTAAGGTCGAATTTTTTAATAGCGAATTATTCAAATTGACTCAGCCCTAAACCATTGAGCTAATTGTCTTCTTGTGGTGTTCTGTCCAAGGTTTGTGCTGTATTGGCTGCAGTGACCGAGGTTATCCGGGAGCAAGGAGGAAAAGAGACAGAGACAGAATACTTTGGAGCTCTGGTAAAGCATTCATTTATCGTTAACTCCCTGTTTTGCCCCTCACAGTTCCGCAAAGCAACAAGAACAAGACTTGCAACACCCAAATTTTTCATTCTCCTACTATAGAGCAGTATACTGAAGTTCACTTGAGGTCTTTGAAAAAGGTTCAAACTATAGCTCCCATTATCTGCTTTTTCTTGGAGAGCATACAGGGTGTGGGTGAAATGCTAACGGTAATGTTCACTGAAAAAGTTGCCTCTGGTGTGTTATATTTTGAATGTCAAGTGTTGCCATGTCACCTCCCTTTTCTGGTTAAACTTTTGCTGTGTCAAAAACTGTTGCTGTTCATTTCTTTTGTCGCCTCCGTTCCTCAGATGACAGCTCTTGACAATGTGGAAAGTGAGGAGTCACTGTCAGCGATTCTCTTTCTGCTCAGCCTCGTCATCAAAAGGTAAAAAAAAAGTCCTTTCAGCTGGAATGGGTTTTCACCCACAAATGTGGGTGCTGCGTGTGGTGCATCCGTCAAGTCCCTTTTGGATTCCCAAGTTTGCTGAATTATAAGGCTACATAGGCTTAACCCTAACCCTGCATAGTACTACAAAGTACTAGTTGTAGTAAAATGTAGTATTCAGTCCTGTCGCTTGTAAGAGGATGTGACCTTATTGTTCTCTGAAGCCATAAGATAAAATAGAAAAGACAATGGACCATACAGTGCTGTGGCACAATGAATGCATGGCTTTATTGTTCTCTGTACAAGTAACAATGGAAGTAACCTAGCCAGAAGTAGTAATCTGTAGTGCTAGGTCCTTCAGGCTCAGATTACTACTTAGTATTTTGTAGTACTGTGTAGTGTAAGCCCAACAATATGCGTTGCGGTTAGAGTAAATGCAGTGACCTGCATTGGATGCCATTACTGCGCTGGCACCTGTTGGCTTTAAATACCCCGTAGACCAATCCAGTGCATAAGTGTGATATTTCTTCAGTTTAAACTACACCCACTGAACATAGAGTTACACAGAACCATGGAACCGGAAGTTAACGTGTCTACGTGTCTAATGCGTCTACGTGTACACTGGTGTATGACACGCTGAGCAAAAATGAGCAAAGTACCAGTCACAGGCAGTATTAAACCCAGTACCCACGGTGACCTTTTGGCTGGTAATCTGTTTGTACTTGTAAACCTCTTTTGTGCTCACCCAATTTACGAGCTTAGCAGCAGTGTGAAGTTGGCCCTGGTTTGCTGTCTTTGGTGTTCCACAATACAGCATGTGCTCTAAAAATGTGTTTCATTTTTGTCTTTTTTTCTCCCAGAATTCCAGCCTCTGTTTTGCGGCTGAAATTCTCGGCCATCAGCAAATCTTTCCTGGGCATTCTGGCCCATCATGCCAAGCAATCAGGTACAACCTCACTGCGGTCGTGCCTGGTGTGTCTGAGCACCACGCTGCGGCAGCAGGACTTTGGCACGTGGAGCGAACCGTCTACCATGCAGGTGTATCATGGGATACTTAGCTACACCATCCATCAAAAGCCGAAGGTAAAAGGCACGAATGTTGGGAGTTTCTCAAAAGTGGGAACGTCAAAGAATGTCCCAAGAACAATTGCTTGTTACGATTTTGAACATCTGCTTTTCCCTCCGAGAACTACATATTCCTGAACTGTAACAGTGGTTTGCCTGGGAAACCTAGTCTAAGTTGTAGTTCTGGACTGGTTCCCTGCCCTAACAACCCCTTGACATCTCTTATATTGGGGCAGGAAACCACCACTACCAAAAATAGCATGTGACCCAGTAACACGTGCATGTGTTTCTTTGTTTTTGTAGTATTTACTATAAGCATCATGCAGTTTTAAGCAGCACTAAGTCTTCAAAATACACTAAGAAAATTAGTGTGAAATTAGACCAGGGAAAAATGGACAATTTACATGTATACACAACAGATATTCAAAAGTGTATACAATAATAACAAGGTATTTGGAAAGAACAAAAAAGGGTTTGGAAATTTTTGAAATAGGAGTAATTCCTCTTGTGCTGGTCATGTGACCTCATCAGCTACAGCACCTAAAGATTCTGTTGGTCTGAGAACCACACTATGCATGTTCCCAATAGGAATTTCTATTACAAGCACTCAGTGTTCCCTAAAGGAGCATTCCAAGGTAGACAGGAAAGCTCTGACCTTTTTAGATACGTGTAGCAACAAATAACCGGTTTCGAATATGAGAAAAGCAAAGCTATGTCGTACACCAATCAAAGCCTGCCAATCCACCAAGGTACCAGTACATTATGAAGGATCTTTTGTGTCCCAGTTTTAAAGAGTTAAGGCAATTTTTTAAAATTTGGAAAGCCAGACTTTTAAGTTTTCTGTTAATATTCATAACTTGTGGACTTCTTATAGCAGATTTATTTTCAACTTACCGATATGTAGTCATGTAATAATCATCCAGTACAATAGTCTTTCTGGTGCAGTCAAAATTTTAGCTAACCCTCATCTAGACATTTTGGTAAATGCAGCTTTTTTTGCCTAACGCTTCTGAGTATTAAATTTTTCAAGTTAGAAATTCACCAAGGTGGAGCCTCTACGAAGTCAGTCTGTTTTTAACTCTGCTTCCCGTGTCTTTCGTTAAGATTCGGAAGGCAGCCCAGCATGCAGTCTGTGCCATCCTGAAGGGCAGCAGCTTCATGATTGTCCAGGACTCCCCGCCATGCCACCCGGCCGCAAGCGCAACGGCCAAATTCTGCATACAGAAAATAGAATCCAGCGGAGGTACGGAAGTAGTTTGTGAGATAAGGTCTCACTGCAGTATTTTGTTCTGCAGAAATCTTAACCATTCTTGCTCTGTCAATGTGGGCTTTATCAAGTAATCTAACCTTGTAATTTATGTTCAGCCAGTATTGTTTGTAAGGTTGTGAGCCAAGATGCCTCCAGCTTAATAGAGTTCTTTTACTTGATTGTGCAACTTTTTTCTTACAAGTGGCGTGCATCTTTAGTCAGCCATAGAGCTTGCTAAAGTTGGTCAGTCAACTGCGTGAATGACATTTGATAAATTTTTAATATGTAAGTTTTCTATTTAGAGCTGAGAAATTCCCTTTACCTGTTGCTTTCTGGTTGTGCATAATTATCTCAAATGTGAACATTTAAATTGATGGGACTACACTGTGTAAATAAAAGTGTGCTGGGTTGGTTTTAAATTAGTGTGTTTCAAACCAGCCAGGGGCCTGGCAACAGTAATGGATCTTGCCTTTGGTTTGGTCCACTATCATCTGCAGGCCCCTAAACTTACCAGTGTTAAAACCATCCCATCACACTGTTACTGCCTTAATAATCACACAGCCTACCGTCTGTGGGTCATTCCGTGAGGTTGGGGCACAATTTGTGATGGTGTCATTGTTATGTCGGTAACTTTTACCACCTGTCCGACCTTTAGAATAGGTCATTTATTCTGTACAAATAACACACACCTCAGTATTCACCTCTGTATAACAATGTCAATTTTGAATCCACATGCAGGGAAATAGCTGTTCATTTTTACAGAACCCATGTAACAATTGGCACTGTCACAAATCGTGCCCAACCCTCATGGAATGACCCCTGATGTTTTGGTCCATAGGAACTGGGGAGGTGGCCACAACGATGCATGTTTTGGGGCTTCTGAAGGATGTGCTGTCGTGCCTGCCGCAGAATAGCTTGAAATCAGCTTGTGAAACAATCCTCAGACTGATGACATTAAGCAATGTGGTGAGTCACAATTGATCCCCCTCTGTTAATTTAAACATGTTAGCTGGCCCCATTTTAAAGTTAACAAATGCACTGCTGTGTCATAATAACATTAGTATTGGTCCAGATATCTTCAGAGATAAATGGGGATGTCTGTAGAAGCTGTTCTGCCCAGAGAGTGACAGTACAATCACATTTTGCATCTTGTATTTTATCAGTTGCCTCTGGCTTTTGTACAATGACAGCTTGCCCTTACGTTGTTATTGAAGAAGTGGAGAATACCATGTGCCGGTAGCTTTGGGCTGATAATTGGTCAACAAAAAAAAAAACCAAACCAAAAAAGGAGATGTTATTCTTTTTAATGTTTCCAGTAACAAACATGTCAGGTCAGATACGAATGGCTACCTTAATTTCTTTTATTATTCTGCTGGTAGTATGTTTTCAACCAAAAACAACTCAGTTCCGCAGTTCTGGTAATATTCCAGTTTTGCCGCATTTTCATTTTGTCAGACCAGTTTGTGTGGTGCCTAGGCACTTCATGTAGCCTTTTTAGGTAACATATGTTGTGACCTGCAGATCAGAAAGGGCTCATTTTAACCCCTTCGCACCGGGAGGCGGCTGTAGCCGTCGTAAAAATTGAGATCGTCAGCCCGCTTTTCAGCTATTATTCTCAGCCCACGCTCGAGCCAACATGGTGAAAGAAGGCAGACCCTGGCTCTTGTGTATATGGTAATTGGTCTTCGTGTGTAGCCCAGAAATGAAAAGACCGATTTTGCATCATAATCACCAGCTTCACAATAGTCCCCACTTTGAAAAGAGGCAAGGGGAAGGTGGAAGCTTGAGTAGAGCCGCATGCCACCGAACAATTAGCCCTTTCACCGTGTAATTCAAAGCATGCAGAGCACGCTGGGCCACAAACCGAGAATTTGCGGTTTGGCAGGTAGCCTTCGTGGCCAAGTGAGGCTGGAATTCTTGGAGTCGGCTTTCAGGAAGAAATTCCCACTGAGAAGGGGTTAATTAGCAGTTATGACGGTTGTAACACCAAGGTTTGGCAATTGCTGTGAAATCGATAGACCTGTAATACATCCTCACCCACTGTTTACATGTGCACTGTCTATGATAGGGAGTTTGGGCACGATCCATTGAGCCTCACAGAAAAAGCACAGGAACCAGAGCTTGGCGTCATTTTGTTTTAAGTCTGTTTGCCCTGAGCAGAAGCACCCCAACATTGGAAAGAAACCATGTTGGTCAGGAGTATTCATTCTGTTGGCTGGACCTCTCTTGGTCCCGCCTGGGGCCCATTGTAACTGTGTGTGTACAGTGTAGCTACGAGGACTGTAGTCAAGTTCATCAGAGGTCATTTTACGACCTCTCTCAGTCACAAGTAACGGGGTAAACAATGACAAAGGAAAGCTTTAGTCACAGTTCAATTGAATAGTATGTGACTTGGCTAAAGACTGGATGGTTTATGATGGGCTTGTAGAGACTTGTGGTTGACTCATCTACAGCCCTAGTCCCTGCCCAACAGATGTCCATGTGTGGCGTATGTATTTGATCACTTTCATGGCTGCACTGGGATCCAAATATATACTCATTCTGTGAACCTTTTGTGCCCTTCTGTCTCCTTTCTTCAGCTGATGACGTCAGTCTGCATGCAGTCACTGCATGGAATGTTCGTAGCCAAGCCCAAGCCTTCCATTCTCCCCGCCGACCTCAACGCTCAGCTGATCAACGCACTGTATGACTACCAGCCGGGGGAGAATGACGTCCAGCCTACCCAGGCCTGGCTGGCTGTCATGGAGGCAGCTCACACCAACCTAGCCAGGTCAATAAGCATTTTCAATGTCCTCGAGCAAAGCAATTTATCACAATCAGGATCGCTTACGTGATGTCTGCTCTGTCTTATCTTCGTAACAGATCTTTTTAAAATCATGAGTTTGGCATTCATGCAAACATACCACAGATTTGTGAAATGTTTCCTGCTAAGACACTTCGAAAAAACTCAATTTTACGTTTACCTATTACAGACATTCCTTTGTTTTGTAAGTTGAAGAAAACTCAGAAGAAATACTATTTTGCATATTTTTTGGAAATGAGGCCAAGAAAGATAGCTGTTTTTTTTTTGCTCCTTCAGAGTGAACCAGAAGTTGTGCATCAGTCATTTGCCTCGTCTCTTCAGCACTGCCATGGCGTGCTTCGTTTCACAGAAGACTGAAATTATGGTGTCAGCATCCCAGGTCATGAAGGTGAGGGGCATTTTAAAGTGACCCCAGGGCCCAAGGCTGGCACCTTTGCCCATGTGTTGGTGTAATACCTGTCACTGATGGTTTTTATTAGGATTTGTTTAATTTAATTTGGTCATCAGTCATGGAATGTTCACAAATTAATGGCTCTGATGTACAATGTGCGCGTAGTGCCCAGTGAAAGGTGCATTGTGCAAGCTACGAATTGCTATGATAATTTACGCTAAAGTAGCATTGCATATATACATCAATACCCTAGTCCGACCTCACAAGGATGAAAGTTTTGGGCAGCAATGACACCCCCAATCCAAGCTGTAATTGTTTCTGTTCCATAAACAGACCCTGTTGTACAATTGTGTGAAGCCTGCCAGTGACTGGTTGTCCATTGAGCTAGCCAGCAACACATCCACTCCAATCCACAAAATGTTCCACTCTGTAGAGGGTGGACTGGCCTACAAATATCACTCATCCTGGGGACTAGTGCTTCAGGTCATGCGCACCTTCTTTGAGGTAAGAGCAGCAAAAATTTTGGGCGTGAGTCCTGCTCACGAGTGCCTTTACTCCAGTAACGGAATGAGGGGCTTGGCCGATGTATGGTCACCAAGGCTGCAGTGTATATTGCGCCTAGGGGAAGATACATGTACATAATAAATACCACAGCATACGCTGTCAACTCCAGTTAGTCTGAATGGGGTTCACTTGGGGTTAGATTGAAGATTTAAATTAGTTAACTGGACCATGCATGCTGAATTATTTCTTTTATTCACTAAGATGGGGAAAAAATGCAAAATATTTCATTGGTGCTTTAACAGCTGTTTAAATATGGGTCTCTATTCTTATTCAAATCATAAAATGTCAGCATTTTTCACCTTTGGGGGTTGCAAAATGAGCTTTATTTGTGAGATGATAATTTTTCATCATGCTTCCTGAATCATCCTCCTTTTTAAAACTATGAAATAGGAACGAGCCTGGTGTAACCAAGCATACTAAAAATGAACCCAAAGAAGCTCAAGCCGAGATGACAAAAATAAAAACAAAAGAGCTGAGAGGATTGCGTGAAATGCAGAAATGTGAAAAATTTAATACAAACTATTCACACAATACAGTAAATGGTAACAAGTAGAGAAGAAGTCAGAAATTTCCCAGCAACGATTTTGTGGTCACACTTCAGCACAAGATATACTCAATACGGGCGATTCACAATAGTGCGCCACCAAGAGTTTGCAACACATTGGCCAAATCTAAATTTGTCGACCCTTTCCAAATGCGCATTGAGTCAACAGATTTTACGCACTGTGATTGGCAAACATGTTGCAAACTCTTGGAGGCGCACTATTGTGAAACAGCCGTACTACGAAAAACCAAATATCATTAAGGGAATATTATCTATAAGAATTTGCAGTTTGCAAGGCCACTGTAGAATAATGGGTCAGGTTAAACATACCTACAAGAAAGAAATCGAAAGATTGTCGTATCCATGTAAACCCATAGTCTTGCAACATACACAAATTGGTCCAAAAAACTCGCTACAAATTTACATTAAATTGCTAAATTCAATAATTTACAAAATGACTAAGTCATACCTTTATAAATCAAAGGTGTTTTAACAAGCCTCATACCGCAAGTCAATGATGTAAGTTTCTAGTAAGCACATTACAGCATTATTTGGTAGTGCTAGGCTATTAGACTTCAAAAGGTAGGCTGTGATTCCAGCAGACAGAACTCAATGCAACAAAATCTAGACTACAGAAAAGTCTGTCCTTAAGGCATGACTGTGGTTGCTGGAATGACCTGGCACCCACATGTACATGTTCATATAGGAGCACCACGACCCTGTAATTGGTCAACCACACCCAAGGGAAGGCTGGTTTATACAGTGGCCTTTTTGTTGTAATTACAAATATAGCCTCGCTTTGAAAATATATTTCCTTACAACCGTAAGGATGACATAAAATTTTTGTCCATAATTTGGAGCACATGAATGATAATATTTACTTGCCTCTTTTACATTATTGTTGGTCTCACAGATATTAAGGTTTTTTAAAGAAAATTTGTATTTGGATAACTCTGCTTTCGATTCAAGACGATGGATGTGTTTATATTAACCCCTTTGCGCTGGGAGGCGGCTATAGCCGCCGTAAAAATTGAGATCCTCAGCCCGCTATTATTCGAGCGAACACGGTGAAAGAAGGCAGACCCTGGCTCTTGTATATATGGTAATTGGTCTTTGTGCGTAGCCCATAAATGAAAAGACTGGTTTTGCATCATAATCACCAGCTTCACAATAGTCCCCACTTTGAAAAGAAGCAGCGGGAATGTGGAAGCGTGAGTAGAGCCGCATGCCACCGAACAATCAGCCTTTTCACCATGTAATTCAAAGCGTGCAGAGCACGCAGGGCCACAAACCGAGAATTTGCGGTTTGGCAGGTAGCCTTCGTGGCCAAGCGAGGCTGGAATTCTTGGAGTCGGCTTTCAGGAAGAAATTCCCGTCGTCAAGGGGTTCAGGACAATTGCGAACTCACAGAACAAAAGTGTTCTGTTTCTGTCCTCCCATGCCAGGTTATTGGTAAAGAGGGCTGTCGCTTCATGAAGAAATGCCTGCAGTCCATGTGCGACCTGAGGAGCACCCACCACTTCCCCTACATCCAGGAACTGGACCGCACCGTTGGGATGGCTGTACGCACCATGGGGCCTAGGTTTGTGCTGGGGGCCGTTCCACTTCAGATTACGGGGGACGAGTAAGTGTCCTGCTTACCTTTTTTGCTTTTGTTGCATTGGTTTTGACTTCTATGTTGTGTGATGGTAGACTGTGTAAGTCACATGTTGCTGCATGATCAATTAAAGCTGTTTAACCTGTTGTGATGTTGCATAAACGTTTGTAGTGTACCAAGGTAAATATGTCACAGTCACAATTATGTGTGTGTAAAAGACATTAATTTGAGAACCAGGGCGTGAACAAACAGCTTGCACACTCCATTAGTTTGCACTGCATTTCCTGGTTCAAAATGATGCCACAATTAGGTACTTTATATGGCTTGTAAGACAACCTTGTTGAAGTAAATTTAAAATGTGGTCGTTCTTTGTCTGGTTGTAGGGATAACTATGACTTCCCTCGAAGCTGGCTCCTTCCAGTTATCCGAGACAACGTATGCAACACCAAGCTGCAATTCTTCACAAAGTATTTCCTGCCCTTGGCAGCCAAGCTCAAATCAAAAGGTTTGTCACATGAGTGACCTGGGGCCTCTCGTCTTCAGTAGTTCCATTTCAAAATCCTCGAGAAGGGATCTTCATGAATGTAGTTATATATGGTTCATAAATACCTGAGACAACTTGTCCAAGACAACTTATATTTTCATTGGATAATGGCCGCTGTGATTTGATAATGGCCGCTGTGATTTGATAATGCCCGCTGCGTAAAGCATGCACAGGCACCTGGATACGAGACAGTTTAATCCATTCTTATTGGTCAAGAGTCTGTGTGCATCGCCAGGCGTGGAACTTGCCACGGGCCCGCCAAGTCCATATAAGGAGATTCTTCTGGACCACTTGCACAAGGAACATACCAACAAATGGACACAGTCTCTGGAATGGGCTGGAAATTTTAAATACCACAAACAAAAGGCATTATTACTACATTGCATGAAGCCTCAGTGCTTGTTACATGTATGTAGTTGATAACAGCAATTTATTGGTGACTTCATCACGATGCAAACATTAATCGATTAAAAGTTCCCTGATTGGATTTGTACAAGTGGTCTAATTGATGAATAGTGCTGACAAGTGGAGGTTTGTTTTTTTCATTGCAATGTTGATATTTAGATGTGGCATATTGACGGTGAGAACCTAGATTTTGATCAGACTGGGGTTGAGGGATACATGTTGATTGATTGTACGGTACCATATTCCAAGCGTTGTCGACTATGCGTATCTGCCTTTGCAGCACTGGAGTACAGCCAGCAAGGGCGTAATGTAGAGGCCAAGACCTATGACATTCTGCAGTCCCAGATCTGGTCACTACTGCCGGGGTTCTGCAAAGACCCCATTGACATCTGCCCGGGGTTCAAGGGAATCGCCCGCATCCTGGGCTCAGCCCTCAGTGACAGGCCCGACCTGCGACACGACGTGTGCTTGGCTATCCGCCATCTCGTCACACGGAACATGGACAACGGTGAGTTAGCTGTGTGTAACGTGACCTGTTGTTGGCTACTGTGGCAGGGGGCCAAGCTGAGGGTGAAATTACAGTGTTTGTCCAACCAACAGGAGGTGCGGTCAAGTAAATGTCCAGAGGAAATACAGAGCTGAAAGTCCCCAAAGCAATACTGTGTTTCTGTGCCGATGACTTTTATCAAAACTGAGTGTGTTCTCATGTAAGCTTGGTATATGCCAGATTTAATTTGGCAGACAAAAAATGATGATGTTAGTACATGTACGTTTTGTTGGACCACTCTTTTTGTCTAATGTCGCGCTCTGGCACCCTTTTGTTACCCCTTCGAAATGCAAGGCACACACAAAGTAAAGATAACTGTATCAAGCAATATTAATCCGAAACTTCTGTAACCTTTTTGTCATTTTGTACAAGTACATTAGATCACATATGTACATGTATATACATATATTTTTTGCTCAAATTTAGTGAAAAATTAATTTGACAACACCCTGTATAAAATATGGCATGGTTGAAAAGTGGTATGTCTACCTTTCATGCAAAATTTATCTCAACACTTGTGCAAGACAAAGCCATCAAGCCCATAGAGGTTTGCCCACAAAAAAAAAGTTGCGAACGGTACTATACATGTATGTCCAAAATATTTCTGGTACATTACATTGATGTTGCTTCAATAAAAAAGTAAAAAATCTGTTTTCTTAAGAAAGAGTGATTTTTTGGTTTTTCAACGTAGAGACGAATCGTGCCGAGTTGGCCCGCTTCGCCAAGAATTTCCTGCCCATCTTCTTCAACATCTACACCAGTGGGAATGCCCGTCAAAACACGTCACTTGCTTCCATTCTTGAGACTGCCAAAGTCTACCTGAAAATTGCAGATCCAAAGGTACTCGTTGGTTTTTGAGCTATTTACAAGCTCCATTGAGCAACCTTGTAATCTTTGTATTTGTGGTTCGTTGTCTTAAATCAGACATCAGCAGTCGGTGAGAATGTAATGTGTGATCATTTTGCTGTTTCATGATCTTTCAGCTTGTCACCGACCTCTTTAACAAGCTGGCAAGCAAGCTCATGGCCGAGGGGACTGACCGGCACCCCCTGATGGACCTGGCCATCGCTGTCACCCCTCACCTTGACAGGGATCACATGACCAAGCTCTTTGACATTGTCTCGCAGCTGCTGAAGGTAGAACACTTTGATATCAAAGTCAATTTGAGCTCAGACAAAAACAAAGGTAGTATTTCAGAGTATTGATTTACTTATATGCCACAGCCATGACATGAATATGCTATGGTGGTGTGGAATGGCTGCCATTGAATTGTGTAACTTCGTCATCTAAGATGTTTGAAATAATTAGAAACGCTTTGCAGTTAAGCAGCTCTTTGTGCCATCTCCCATAAGTACACTGTGCACACAAGCTATACCACAGAGTTGTGCCATAAGACGTTCCGCATGGTGCCACGTTATGCCAAGTTTTGTGAAATTGGCTTCTGTCACAAGAAATATGGAATACATTATATTCTGGCTTGTCTGTGCTTGACAAATTTGTATGCCCAGCAAGTCTGTGAAATTGGCCTCTGGTTTTGGCAAGGAGTATACACAACCAGTTTTCATTTGAATGTGCACAAAGCTGCAGGACATCTGAGTGATCTGAGTGCTGGGTACAGTGACATTAGCTAGTAATCTGCCTCTGTGCCTATTGGCTTAATGAGCTGATTTGTTGTTTCCAAAAGGCAAGACCACTCAAGCACAAAGCACCCAATGCCATGTCAGCTCCAACATGTTCAGTGCATGTGAGTCAGTGTATGGCCACACTGATAATGCTGACCTCAGTCATAATCACATTCTCAAATGACCTATGGCATACTTCATTTTGAGCATATACCGTTGAAATGCTGAACTGGCTCATTGCATATGTGACCTGTCACGACAAAATGAGAGTAAAGTCGCATCCCCCTCTTTCCTATTTGAAGGGTTCAAAACCATATTGAAGTGGAGGTCAATTTTTGGGTGTTTTAATATTTGGAAAGAGTAACCCGTCTCCTATTTAATTCCAAATATTTTGCAGAATTTTATATTTTAAATAAAATGTCATTTTCTCAGCAATTTTGACAATAGCATTGTTCATGCCTGATCTGAAATGTTGAAACAATGTTGAGAACAAAGACGCAAAGCTGCCAGAATAATGTCACATTGTCACCTTATACTTCTACCCTAAGTGTTCCATGTACATGCCATTGGAAAGCTCTCTTTCTGCTAAATTCAAAAATTCCAATGTCTCAGTTTTTGAAAATTCTGACTTTCAGCTCATTTTGTGGTGACAGGTCACATATAGTCTCACAGACTGTTCCGTTGCAGCAAATTTACTCCAGGTGCCAAGCTTTCAACTTTTTGTCTAAAAAGCGGAGTCCAGTTTTGGATGGAAATTCATTCCATCTTTTATGTTACTGTTTTAACGTTAGAGCACCGATCACACTGTGCAGAAGAAGGCCTATCGAATCTTGGAGAATCTGTGTGATGGTTCCACCGAGGCAGGGTGCCAGTTCATTTCATCTCACTTACGGCAGCTCCAGAAGACACTGGTCACATCTCTGTCCACTGCCTCTCCATCCTCCAAAGGGGTAGGAAAAAAATTTTTTTTTCAGCTCCTTTTTTTCACGTTTGACCTTTCTGTCCAAACCAGAAATGAAGGTGCATCTAAAGTGATTTCTTTATTTTCAAATTTCAGACTGAAATTTTTTATCCCAAAATATACTAGTTTTTGGCCATAAGTTTGTTCCTGTAGGCTTTATGTAGCTGTCTGAAATAGCCATGAAAATGACCTCCAATTTGTCAAAAAATTCAGATAGGTGTAACTTTGCTGAGAAAAATTTACAACAAAGTTTTACCATGCTTGTAAATTGAAGATATACATATACATGTATATGTTTTCACACAGTATTAGTTTAAAAAACTGCGGTATTTCAAGTGGACCAGATGCGCACAGGAATGTGTCTGAAACGGCACTCACCACACATAATACACATACAAACCTGTGTGACGTTTGTATAACACTATGACCAAATACACGTAGCATGAGATGTCCCAAAGTGAGAGTATCACAGAGGAGTAAAGTAGCTTTTCCCCCTGGCCGAAATTAAGCACATTTGTCAAAAATCCAGAAATTGCTTTCGAGTTTATATGAGTTTCAATAGATTAAACAATCAGTTTCAGGCATGCAATGTTTCCTCAGATCAGCTGATTTCCTTGTTTGTCCCTTTATACTCATGCCATTGAAAATTGAAAAACTCTGCATGAAGACTTGTAAGGATTGGGAATTTTTTGTCAAAGTCCAAGTTGCACGCCTGCAGATTTGTTTTGACGAGTGGGTCCTTGTTTGGTTCCAAAACACACTGCAGTGTTTCACATTTTCATTCATTACTTGAGTTGGTGCCTTCAGCCAGTTTGGTGCATTAATGATGAAGGTTGGCAAGGATAAAGGCTTACTGTATTGATCATGTTCAGTGAATCTGAGAAAGGCTACGCTGATGTAACTGTTAATGTGCATGCCTGTTGGTTATCCCAAGTGAACTGCATGCATATGTACGACATGCTAAAATTGATGCATGCTCTGTTAGAATATCAAATTGGCTTATTATTACGAAACATGCACCACAAAGGAAAAAAAGCAAAACACAAAGACTGTAGCAGGCAGAATCAATTCTCTTGTTGTCTGTGCCAGCCCCGCTTACGATGCATTATCCACATCATACGAGCCCTGCCTTCCAAAAATGTGGACTTCCTGGAGACCATTATCCCGGAGGTCATCCTCTGCACCAAGGAAGTCAATTCCAAAACGAGGCTGGTAGCCTTTGACCTGCTGGTCGACCTGGGTCATGCCCTGATCAGATGGTCCGAGGGGGAGGACACAAGAGAAGGTAGGTTTTTGAATTTTTAATGCAACTCTTTACAACGCTTGCTGGAAAGTCCAAAGTCATGATAGTCCTGTCGCTTGAGAAAACCTAGAGAGAGAAGACGGAAATGTTCAGTTTTAGAAGTGGGAGGAAAACCCCAGAATGATGGAATCAGGACACCCATAGAATCACGGAGGGTCTTTCTGTCGGCCCGGATGGGATTTGAACCCAGGACACAGAGATGGAACGTAACGTAAACATGAGTGCAGCAACCAGTCCCCACTTCAATAATGCTCCTATTTAACTTGATCTAGTTAAAATAGAGGATGTAGGAGTTGCCAATCGTTTTGCCCTCAAGCAGTGAAAAGGTTGGAGTGTTAAAGTGTAGCTGCACTGAATTCTTGTCGGGCACAATTATTCCACCACTTTATGCTCTTTTTCACAACAGGTGAAAATGATTTGACATCCCTTTAATGAAATGTAGATTGTGCTTTCCCAGACAACTGAGGGCGCTGTTGTTGTGGTGTCATCCAGGGAAGACATGGTTAGATGCCTGGGTTTTCCTGGTAAAAATTGTGAAGCTTGAATTTACTCACTGAAAAGATTTCTGAGAAAGGGTTGTTTGGTTGGTTATTGCTACATGCATGTACTTGCACAACAATGAATCTCCAACGAAGACAAATTTAGACCATGAAAACTGCCAAAATGCAGGACTATTTTGTGCACAAACCAATGCAACACTGAGACTTTTTTCTCGGGGTGACATAACAGTTTTGCTCATGAATATGAATATAGCATAATACCAAAAGTTATCAAAAAACCTTTGATCAGTGGAAAAATTGAAATTGAGGTTAACTGAGACACAAAGGTGCATTTTGGAGGTTGCTATAAAAAAAAATCCATTCCATTTAACATCTCCCCATGGAATTGAGCAGCAAACTGGCAATATAAACTACATGTATTATGAAAAAACAAGAAACTTGAGGCAGGGGACTTCATATTTTAATACAAACATGTATGAGAGAACTTGAAAATTGAAATACCATTTACACAATACAAATCCATTGCTGTAGTGATAAGCAATTCAAACTTAGTTGCCACCTCAGGGTGTGCTATCAAGTAGGTTGTGACTGATGATCTGATCAGATATCTGATTGGGCTGATGATATTGGTCAATTTCAGCAAACATTTGATTGCCAAATTTGGCTATCCTTGCTGATACCTGTATCCTGTTTGGTTTGAAGAAAAGGAGCAGACTTTGAGCTCAGTTTTATCAAACACAAATGTCGTGGATTTATTTATTGAAGTGTGATTAAAAACAATAGTTTATTTTTTGTGTGTGAAAAGTGAACCCTCATACGGAGCGATGCCTTATCATATCAACGAAAATGTTTCTGAGCTCCACATCTGCATGTGATCGATACTGCAACAACTGAGCGCACAGGCCCAAAAGACAACGGAGCAGTCAGTGTATTAATGTACTTACATTTGTATACTGTTCCTGCTGAATATTATAAACGGAGCCATAGAACTACATTATCTGTGGAGCCACAGCACATTGTCGGCTGAGTTCAGCTGATCATGTGTCTCTTACATTTACAGCATGGGCAATATGTGTACAACGTACTGGTATAATGTTGTCTACAGCCTAAGTACAAAAGTACCCCGGGAAAAAAGATCAAGTTTACGTACGATTCTCTGCATTTGTGCCAAGTTTGCTGGACGCCCTACTTGAATTGAAATACACGAAGCTGCACAATTGGCCTTGGCCGTAACTTCTCCCCGATACAAAAATTAAATCTTATAAGTATGTGTTGAAGGTTACCTGGCAAGCTCAATTGTTGAGTGGTAAAGATGTCTGCACTAGTAAGCAGGAGGTCATGAATTGGAGTCCCTAATGGGTAAACTTGTGGATTTGTTCACACTCCCTCAGAAAACTCTGAGTGTACAGTGTTATGAAATGTACATCATCGAAGGGCAAAACTCCACATACATGTATAAACATTATGGGATCAGGGTTGATCTGACATGCACATTTTCAATAAAATGATCATTTTATTTTGCAAATAAGACCGAAAATTTGAACAGTTCACAAAATCTATTTAAAGAGTAAAGTAAAAATTTGATAATTCATACGCTTCGTCTGCGCAGCTAAGATCAGAATGGTTAAATAACGATAAAAATGATTGCATCTGAAACTGACCACATTTCCTGAAATGAGTGTTGGGCGTAGTTTTTCATGTACTCTATGCATCAGAAAAGGAAGAGTGTACTCAGCTTAAAATTCAATTTGGTAGTACTGTTCATACCCAGTCTGACTTACAAATGTTGACATTACATACATGTGTACATATGTATGAACACATTCACTTTCCTATTGATTGTCATCCTACTAGATGGCCTCCAGTGCGCACAAGGGCCTCTGGGCCTTCAAACTCATTTTGTTGGGTTGTGAGCACCCTGCATTCAACCCTGCTATATAGTGTTTACATACTTACACGTGTGTGTTTGCACACCTGGTATGTTTCAGTTCATTTGGTCAATTCTGACCGCCTCAATTTAATTTCAGCTCTGTGCTGCAAACGGTACACTCACGTAGCGCATGGAAGGTCTAGAATGGCATAAAGGAACAGTTCTACTGCACAGTTAACAAAAGATTGTCCTTCATTTTTAAAATAGAATCATATAAACAAGTGTTTACTCTTCTGGCAGGTACAAGTATCGCATCTGCATAGAAAAATACTTGGATCATTATTTGTGTTTTCAGGACCCAATTTCATGGCTCTGCTTACCGCAGAATTCCGCGCTTATGATCTCCATTCTGCGCTAACCCGCGCAAGCGAAAAAATTCTGCGCTACCTTTTAAGCACAGAATCTTTAGCCATAGGATGTATGCATGTGCACAAGCCAAAATTCCTTGCTTATCGGTGAAATACGTTTGCCATAAGCACAGAATTTTCTGCTATGGTGAGTGCCGATTTTTCACTTGCGGTAAGCAGCGCCATGAAATTGGACCCAGGTTGTCACTCAGAAGACCAGTAGAGTGTAGTATAATTGGTGCAAGAAATATTGAATTTCCTATTCTAGACAAATTTTGCTTGTCTCAATTTATCAAAGTGATCTCTGTGCCATGTACATGTGCATTAGTGAGCTCAGTGTGATAGATAACACCACTGAAAAACAGATATACATGTACATGTAACTATAGCAACGGGACCTGTCAACAGATAAAATGTTATCAGTTTTCTAAATGGAACTCTTTCTCCAGTCAGTTGATCTCCTCATTTTTTACTTCACACTCATGCCTTTGAAAATCAAAAAATACTGTACAAAGTCTGTTAAATTTCCTTATTTTTTGGTCAAAATCCAAGTTGCATGCCTGTCATTTGATCCAGATCTTTTCTTCAACAGTGTGGAAAACAAGCACCGATTGCATGTAATTGTTGATTGTTAATGTCTGGTCAAATGGGGAGCATCTTGGAGATTTACCAATGTATATTGGCCACTTTTTCCTTAATTTTGAGTCCCAATTGGTGGAGGATAGGGGGAGGGTGGTTTATCCTGTCTTAGAGAAAGGATGTGGTCCTACAAACTATATAAATTTCTTACACTGTATAGGATTCGATGTCATCAGCTAAGAGGTCCACGATTGTTCTGGGGCCAATTTCATAGAGCTGCTTAAGCACAAATTTACTTAGGCATGAAAAAATCCTTACTTGATGAATCAGTTAACCAGCCTAAATTCCATGTGATGTATATTGTTTTGGGATTGTATTTAGCTGTTTTTTTGTTAGCATGACAATCAGATAGAGTTTGAGCAGGTAACCTTTGTTTATTAAGCAAAGTTTTTTCCCGCTTAAGCAAATTTTGTGCTTAAGCAGCTCTATGAAATTGGCCCCTGGTCATTACATACCCTTGTCTTTCCCTTTGTTGAGGATCTGGGTGTGATACGAACACCCATCTTTATCCTCAAATACCTAATATGAAGCCTAGCAGAAACACTGCTTTTTTACAGGTTTCAAGTTTTTGTTCATATACATGTAAATGCACTTTTTTGTGAAATTTTATACTGTTTTGAATGTGTATGTACATGTATAAGAATGATTTGACATCCTTTTTGCTTCAGCCTTCCCTCTTTAAATTGAAAAGCCAACATGTCCTCGTTGCAAATATTTTTGAGAAGGGGCTGCTGATTGGCTTATTGCCCTGTTATCAACAATGAGTCACCAGAGGAAGGGAGATTTACAATGGTAAAATTCATGACAAAATTCCATCTCAGTGCAACATTTCTCCCTGGAATCTCATCACAGTTTGGCTCACTAATGTGGAAATTTGCACTGGCGTGAAAATCCCATGGGTACGGGAATACCTTTTAAACTAACAAAACAAAAATTGGAAAAGATGAAGTTAAAACACAAAGGTACATTTTCAAGGGTTTTTACAAAAATGTGCAGTGGATTTGTATCCTTTAATCTGCTGAGGGGCAGGGAAAGTCCCCCAAATTTGAATTGTGACCTGTGTTTTGAGACAATTTCCCTTCAAACCATGAAGATAAAACACTGTTCAATCTGTCTGTGCAGTTTGTGTGCGTCAGTACATTGAGATGCTGACAGCTGGTCTGGCTGGTTCCCCGCACATGGTCAGCGCTACCGTGCAAGCCCTGACAAGAGTACTGTTTGAGTTCAGAGGTAAGTTTCATAATCTTACATAGTTGCATGGCCATCTAAATAGTGTTGTGAAATTGCATGGCATACTGGTCATTGGTAGTTAATATTTGGCAGTCTGTAAACGATTACCTGATAGCACACATTGCCATGGGGTATGCGTTTACTCTGTAGACACCATCAAGCTCCTGTGCACATAATGCGCAATCGCTGCGTGCGCATGAACCACCACCAGTGGGCGTGCTGGGGGGGGCATTGAAAAGGTAGTTATTTTGCACCACCCCCCCACTTAATAGGCCTACCAGCCATTGGAGGTATATTGCAACTTCATAATTGTATTCTTTTCAGTTTATTCGCCAATGCCTGTCCCCCCCCTTTTAAAACCATTCTGTCGCTGTTGGCACGAACAGCGCAAGCTCACTTTGTCACTCTAGCCCCCCCCCTGTGATAGAGTGCGTAAAGTTGTTTTGGCCATGCTACACGCTTTGTCTGCTACCGGTATTTCTCATGGATTTTCTCATAATTTTAATTATAATTGGATGTTTTGTTTCTAATTTTTTTGAGTAAACACTGTGTTAAATAAGTATTCTTGACACTGGAATAGAGTGGGACTTGCATTTCTGATTCCGTCGGGAACCGACATACAGTTTGTATTCCCCTGTGCACTAATAAAATGTTCAGCGTTGGACATAATATTTCTTCTGTCGTGGACTTAATTATTTGCAACAAAACCCACCACAATATTTAGGCTTATTCTTGCTCCTGTCTCTTCTCTAAGCCAAAATTTTTATCACAGATTTTCAGCCCCTGGTTTTTTTCATAAGTAGTATAGCAGTTTCCACAACCAATAAACTCAGTTTTTTGAGGATTTCATTTCTTTTCAACCAGGTTCAAAAGCAACTACAACAGATATAATGTGCTGTTTATGTTTTGTTGTTTTTGGTTCAGTTTTGTGTTCTGTTTGGTAGATATTTTGGCTCCTGTATCTTCCTCATTTCGTTGTCCCACAGTAAATTTTTCTCGGATTCTCATAGTAAATGTTTCTCAGATCAGCTCATTTCCTTGTTTTTCACACCACAACCATGCCATTGAAGATGGAAAAATACTCCACAAGGTCTTGTTAAGATCAGAATTTCCTTGTGTTTAATCAAGGTCCAAGTAGCATGCCTGTATCGTTCATTACTTTATTGAAGGGGTTTGTTATTAATATCCTGCTTCTGATTTGGCATTTTGTCATTGTTCTTGGAGCAGGTTGCTGGAATTAGGAACACGATCCGTTCCAAATAAAATACCTGCACTCTCCTTATAATCGACCAACCATGACAGTCAACAGCAGTTACACGCACATGTACCTGCCATTTCTATCAATTTGGAACTGGTGTCAGAAATTGAGGTCATGGAAAAGGCCATGCAGTGATGGTAGCATGTACATGTACATGTACGTACAGTGCAGTCTGATTGCTTCCTGAGGAAAAGGAAAGGATGTACATGTACATGTATCTGGGTTGAAAGTGTTGACTCAATGCTGGCCTGTACGCGGATGTTGTGCAGCAAAAATAAACAGGGACATCATAAATAAGGGGACATGCTAAATAAAAAAAAAATTACAACTTTTCAAACACTGCAAAACTTGGGACATGTTAAGTGGAGTCCAGTCAACTGAAGACAAGGTGCCATGTAACCACATGGTTTCCCCGTGTTTGTCCACCTTTGGCAAATGATCAGTCAGCAATCATACCGGTACATGTACATTTTATATTACAGTGAGGCTTATTTTCAGGTGAAATATCCATCACTTCTTTATCAAATGACAAAGTGATCAACACATAACATTGTCATGTCGATCCAGCACTGGGTGCTGATTACGTGTTTTTTTTTCATGCTTTCAATTGTTAAAAGCTTTCAAGGTTTTCCTAATATGTAAAGACTATGCATTGCATCACAATCTTTTACTTTATACAGCAGTTGAAAATATACATGTACATCGGGGTCACGCAGGTGGGCGAGAGCATGCTATGATAGTGTGACTTCTTTGAACATATGCCAACAATAATTGAACATATGCCAACAATAACATACCCATGGCATGTACCGCTACACTGAATGCCCCCATGATGTGATGAGCCCTCTCTCACCTTTTATTGTTTACCTCAGACGGTGAGGGTGACGGTGACGGTGACGGAATGCATTGGGGAGACCCCCCCCCCAATGTTCTGTTGACTTGCACAATCATCTGGTGGCAGGGAACATTATGTGTCAATTGAATGGTTCCCTGGGGCATATGTTTTTCCAGTGCAGTAAAGAGAACCACATTTGGATTCAGTTTGATGCATTCAGCTTGGCTTCCACTCCAGCTGGAGTGTTGGCTGGATTTCAGTGGGTATTGAACAGCCTTGACACCAAGAAACAAGTGGGTGGAGTTAGGGTGTGGAGACTGCCATGCTGTTTCTCAGTTTCGACGAATTTGGAAATCCATCCACTTTGGCAAAACAACCCTGGAGTGAATCACTAAAGTGTAAGACCAAAATCACACGTCAGGATGTTTAAGGGACTGCACTTTTTTTAAGGCAATGGCCACAAGATTTTAAATGCAGGTACTTTGTCCGTTTTTGGACTTCAACCCCACATTTCCCCACAGGGTGCTTGACAAATTCCCCTGGAGGTCAGCAGAGAATTTTGCAGGATGAAGAAAAGTGAGAGTTCATTTTATTTTGCTTTATGCACCTTGAAAATTGAAGTAGCAAAAATATTGTGCCCTTGTTTTCCTTCTCACGTATTGCTTGATTTTGTCAGAGTCCATCTGGCTGCTTTCCCTAATGTTACCTGTACTGTTACATTTGATGGCTGATACTATAGTTCCCTTAAGGACTCTTCTGTATTGATCAATCAAATCTATCCAAACAAGCAAATAGTGGACTGTGGAAGTGTCAATATTTCCAATTTCAGTTGGTTTCTTTTCCTTCCCTTCAAATTGCAGCCTAGCCTTTTATTTTTTACTTTCTTATTTGGTACAATGTATTGATCCACTTGCCTTTTTGTAAATTGTTTTAATTGTAAATCAGCCATACGTGTATCTTATGGCTACGAATGCTGATTCCTCTATAAACCATTAACCATTATAATCAATTCTACATTTGTGCGAGCACACTAAACAAACATTTCAGTTCACACTGAGCATGTGTTGAGCACAGAGTTTGCGGTTATTGATTTGGTTGCAAATGAAAGCGGTCACATGGCCAACTGTCCTACTAATGACAGCTCAGCAAGAGCGTAAACCAGTACAGCCGTCATGACCATTTTAGCACTAAACACATGCAGAAATTCATCTTCCTGCAATTAAAGATGTAAAAACTTACAGATCAAAATGAATGCTCACATCATCCAGCACACACTGATTTACATTTAAAATACTTTTTTAATTGAAAATATGCATTATATGCCAAATTTTCTTCATTCTGTGATCAAATACATAGACATGTATTTCCACACTCACATAATCACCAATTTCAATTTATCACCTTACAATACTCAAATATAAAATGTTGAAATCAACAAGAATCAAACAGCACTGAAATTTGAACACTGCCACCATGGCCACTGCAAAATTACATTGTAGGGCCTACATGTAACACCACTGTAGGGTCTGCCAGGACTGAGTTACCGGTATATACCTCCAATTAACCCCACCCTACATGTACCGTACCGGTAGGTAGCAATCAGGCACTTAATATTGTCCAGTTTCTGGAAGCAGACTCATTAGTCAGAAGACTTACATTTAAATGTATACAATTATGAATTCCTCTCTGGAGAAAGGTATCGACAGTTGGGAGTTACATGTACATGTACCACCAGCATAGGGCTGGACAGTCACCCGTACAGTACATGGTGAAGCATCTGCTTAGTTATCCACAGGTGGAGGGTTAAAATCCTCACTGCAGTCAGTTTCTTCAGCTATCTTTACAACTGAAGTGAAGGACAGACCCCCATAAAACATGCAAAACAGTGCACTGAAGAACACTTGAAAGACCCATGGTCTCACCGAATGGGAAACTTTTTTTACACCCTTTCACTTCAGTCAAGTACTGTAATTAAAGAAAAAGTTTACGCATCTACATTCAGCACAGACTGTCATTTCTCCAAGAGTGTACTGTACACTAGACACAGATGTGTTAAGCCAAAATTGCATGCTCATAGAACTTTCAGAAATCCACTCAACTCTTCATGTCTGTGCTAACTGGCCTTGGAGGGAGCATTTCAGATCAAATCTAACAGGTGCTACAGTGATCGAGACCTTGAGCAAAAGATTCCATTGTGTTTGGGGGGAGTGCAGTATGGTCCATGTATTTGCTTGCCCAAGGCCATTTGCAATTTGTAGTTTATTCAACTTGGCAGCTCTTGATAACTGGTCTTCAAGGTGACTCCAGTTAATGCATGAGAGTCATATACATATACATTTACATGTATGTTCCTGTGCTGACATGTATATATGTACTGTATTTTGAAAGTACTGTTGTATTGCCCAGGGTTGCTCAAGGAATTTAGTCAGTCCATGAGCAGATAGCAAGATATGCTCAATCATCAAGTCTCATTATGTTCAATAAACTCAGTATCTACAGGTACATGTGCATTGTGCCACCTTAGATAATTGGAAATTCCGTCACTACATTTGGATTTGATTGGCTTTGCCAGAAGGTACTGCCATTTACTGCAGAGTGTGAGACTGAGGTTGGTATGCAATGTACATCTGTGCAACCCAACCATGGGAAATGATTTCAAAGTCACCACAGCTGTTAAATGGAGTTCCCTACCTCACGCCTTGCACAATGGAAATCGAAAACAAACGTCAGCTTCACAACATTCGTCAGAATCTCACTGACAGCAGCTCTCAGTGTGCTGTATGTAATCCATGTGGGAAATGAACAGGTGAACAAAAAAAGTTCACTTGCATTCATGAGCAGTAAGCGGATATAAAAATAAGGTCAACTTTTTTCTATTAGTTGGATTACAAACCTACTAACCAATACAATTTCAGGAAAAAAATGGAAGAATTTATATTATTCCATTCCCAGTGGTATTTGGAAAAAAAGAAACTAAATTCAATTTTTTTCTTTCTCCTGACCGGAGATATGTTAATTGGGGTTTTGATTTTATTATTCCCTTCCCGTCCTCTGACCCTGCAAACTTTCAGTCAGTTTTCAGAACCCGGTAAATAAAAAAATGCTGGCCTAATACCAGTAGGAAATTAAAGGAGGATAAATATGCTTACTACTACATGTAGGCACTGCAATGGATTAATTATGGGTTATAAGTATTATTGTTATTGTCAATTATCACTTCAATTTTTTTTGCATTAAGGCACAAAGGCATTTGGTACACTTGTTGCTTGATGTGTTTTTTAAGGCAGCTCATCTTGACTACCTGAACACACATTTGTCTGCTAGGCAGTGGAGCAATTTGTTTACCCCATGAAAACAAAAATTGGAAGAGCAAGAAGAGAAATTTATTTTAGAGGAAGCTTTTATGCAAAAAAAGTAAGTATTAAACTCAAAGACAAAGTATGTGAAGACAAGTGATTCTTACAAGCTTTAAAATGAAAATTTCCTGGCCTTACTGTAATTTGACCAGGAAGGTTTGTTTTTTTCTAATACAAAATTGACTCTTATGCACTCTAGTATGGTGCTATTCATTGGAGTGTGCTACAGCATGCTGATAATAATACACATATTTTCTTTTGCCAAAGGTGCATGCAGTTTCGCTGTATTAAAGCTTACAACAAGGGAACCTTCTCAGATTTTAATTGGAATTTCTGAGTTTCACATTCAAACCAAGACAGTTTTGGGGGTTAATTACTTAAAAGTTGGGGTTTGCGACAACAGACTCATTAGCCACTTCAACTTAGAACTTTCCTTTCCTCTGACAATGGTATGGTAAGTAAGTCGAAAAAATGGTGAGCGCTTTGTTAATCGACTGGAGTCCAGTTTCATGGAGAGGCTACACAGTTGCTTAGGAAACAGAATAGCCTTTAGCCAATTTTATGGAGGAATTTGGTTACAAGCAGTTTACTTTAAATGAAATTTTGCCTGGTACCTCATGTTTGGCAGCTCTGTAATGACCAACAACACAAAATTGCCATGACTGGGTTGCAGAACTCTCAGACTTGAACGTCAAGATTAGAGAGGAAGGAAACAAATGGCAAATGGCCAGTGAAATAAACTTTCTCATTCTTTACTCTTTCTAGTCTGTTTGGCTTAATTTTCCTGCTCAGAAGACTGTAATACTCTCAATGAATTCAAATAATTTACTTTATGAATGAAACATCACTCTCCATCATAAACTTTACTACTGAAAGATTTTTTCTGCCGTCCAAAAGAGTACCATATTTAAAACCAATGCAAAAGTACTGTTTTATGAAGAAAGGAAACAATATGAATTTAACATTTTACAAACAAATGCGTTCAACCTTCACCAAAATAAATTCATACATCTCTCACATCTACTGTACATGTATGCTCCATGCAACAAATCTTGTCAATAACCCCTAAACCCAACGAACTCGAATCTATCAATGTCAGGATAATTTTCCAGCCGCTCTTACATGTATGTGTAGGTGTTTACGTTTAAAATGCACCTGACAGTTAAAGTTGATTTAGGGGCGGATCCAGATTTCAGGAAGGGGGGTATCTGTGTGAAATTGTAGCACTGGTATGTATAGGGTTTGGGGGAAATTGGGTCATTCCCTCTCCCAGTAAAACTGCAAATTTATCTACCTGTATGGCATGTATGATGCTCAGTCCTGCATTGTAGGGCAATGGCTTAGCATTTATTCATCATATTTGGCAATGCTTAGCCAAGTATTTTAAAAGTGTCAGCCGCTCAACAGCACTGACCCAATCTGCAACACCGTACATGTATGTAGTCTTCATTGATAAATCATTGATGGAATAGTGGTGACTTCCACCCCAACTTATTTTTGAAAAAATAAATAGATATATATTTATACAATGGGTTTGTCTCTATAAGCAAAATTGGACAGCTGTGTAAACTAAATCTGAATCTGACATACATGAACATGTAACTTACATCTGGAACATAAGAAACAAATCTGTTTCATCGAAAGTTGCCAAATAAATGAGATAAATCAATGGACATTCGTCATAATCTCTCATTTGTCATCAGAGTGTTGCTTTTTCTTTGTACTTTGAACAAATGCTCATTGACAACGCCTCCAGTTTGCTGTTGACGGCCACAGGGGACACTTTGGTGGATTTCTCGGCCGTGTTCTCACTGGCGGGATCGCTGTTCTGCCAGCTCTGGTAGTAGAGGCTGCTGCGTTTAGCCAAGTATTCCATGTGCCAATTGCCTTGTAGCCCCCTCGGCCACATCTCGAGGATTCCTGCCCCTTCCTGCATGAATACAGAGAAACCAAAGGCCGCCCCGTGCATCCCCACCATGATGTCTGCATTCCCGATCAGCTGTAGCTGTCGTCTCATCGGTAGCTTGTCAAGTTGTTCTCCCTGGACAGTGTAGTTTGGGAAGTGTTTCCTGGTGCTTTGCAGCAGCTCACCCTCGTTGGAGATTTTCCGGGACACGATTCCTTTGGGATTCCTGGGGTGCCCAACATAATTGTGTCTCCAAATGAAGAGGATGTCCAGCCGCTTTTCCCAGCAGCGTCGCTCCCGGTCCTTGTTGGATTTCACCGGCACGCCCAAAGCGGACAGCACATCATGCCGGAATTTGCCGGCAAGTGTCAACGGTCGGAGGACCTTCAACAGAATGGGGGTCCTGCCTCGACTGAAGCATGGCAGCAAGTTCCTGAACCGGGTCTTTCCCTGGATCTCTGTCAGCCGGAAGACTCGCCTGAATGTACCTGTGAAGAGTCCCTCTAAGGATGTGTCGGGATGGGCATCAAATATCCAGAGATCTGTGTTGTGAAATGTCCGATTGTACAGCTGCATCATCAGGAAAGCATTGTACAAGTCAATGACGGTCCAGTAAACATTGGCATACTCAAATCGGGTAAGTAGAATCACAAAATCGCTGTCATATTCAAGTATTGTCTCCCCCTGGTTCTTGTAAGGGTCCTTTGATATCTTCACCGCATTACTCAGTTGGTCAATCTCAGGGGACATGTGACCAAATCGAAAGATGTGAGGTGCTGGAATGTTAGAGCAGTTTTCAATGTGAATCAATCCTTTTTCGTGGTGGTAGAACTCGGCACTTTCGTGTTGAAGGAGGACATCCTTTACTTTCTCTCCCCCTTTAGCTTTTGTGTGCGCCTTGGCCGGGTCCACAATCACGTTCCTCATGAGTGCAGTCATGTTCTGGTAAAACTCCACGTCTCCGTCGCAGTAGGTGACCACTGAAGAAATCATGCGGAGAAGAAATTTGCTCTGGTGGGCTTGGATTCTCCTGACCGAATGCTTGTCTGGTTTGGCTGGGGCTGCCATAGGCTGTCCCCTAGTCGATCTTCCTGAGGATGTCTTCTGTCCGTGGAGTGCCTCTCCCCGGCTGTCCTTTCTATTCTCTTCCGATTTTGATGACGATTTGTCAGTGTTTCGTGGTGAGTGTCTTGTGTTTGGTGCCTCCGGTTCCGGATTAATCGAATTGGGCTTGTCATTTTGTTGTCTGTTCTGGTCACTTTCGTTGCGGTCTAAATCGCTCCCACTGCCATTTCCATTGAAGGCCAGCCACACACAGGTGAGGGAAACCTGCATGACAATGATGACCATTAGTGCTGATATGTTCCGCCTGCTGGTGAGTAGTTTTAGACGCATGGTGAATTCATGTGAGTCTCCAGTCACTGAGAGTGAAAGGTAGTGAGCTTCCTCACTGAAAATACAACAGAAAATGAAAATTACACGAGAGAAATTCACAACAGTCTGTCCTCCCACTAATGTGAATGGATGACACTGGTTTACTTGTGTAGGTAGGTGTATACTGTGTACACGTACATGTACATGAATACCAGGGCAGACTTTCTCAGTAAATCAGTGTTTCCATACAGTGTATATCTCTGCTTGACAGGTTGTTAGAATAAAAATTCAGGAAATTCCTAATGCTAATAAGAAGGAAAAATATTGTGTATCATGTCTCCCAAGTTTTTTGTTTGTTGGACAAAAATTATGAGTAAAGAATGTTTGCTATTTTGACAAGTCATACACTGTAAAGAAAAACAAGTCAAAACGAAATGTGAAAATATGATTTTAGAGCACAAAGAAGGGATATTTACACATATACAGACAGTTAAAAGGAAATAGCAAAAACTATCACCATTCACACAATCAACAATTATGTACATTCATGTGTACACCTGTATTGACCTCTAGTTATATACATGTACTGTACCTTTAATAGGAAGGCATTCCCACAGAGTCCTTTGCATGTACAACTTTGATGCCTTTGAACTAGGTCATTCCATGAGGTTGGGGGTACAATTTGTGACAGTGTCCTTGTAACATGGATAACTTTTTTCACTCTACGTGTAAGTCATTGACTCTGTAAAAATAGCACACCTCTCTGTATTCAACCTGCAAGATGTATAACAATGTCAATTAGGAATCCACATGCAGGGAAATCACTGTTCATTTTTACAGAACCAATGTAACAATGGACACCGTCACAAATTGTGCCCCAACTGCATGGAATGACCCAACTCTGAAATACATTGTAACAGAGCCTACAGGTAACATCTTGTATTACCATAAACTGTGTAGTCTACCAAAAACCAAAACTTTAAGGACAGATTGATAGATTTCCCTTATGCTCATTTTCTCCCAACATGCCCAAAGTTTTGGTAATAAGGGGAAAAATGTTGTTTCCCTCAGGGAATAAATATAGCTAAAAATAAAGTTATAAAATGTTATAAATTACAAACATCTGCTTTAATTGAAAGCCCACATAAATCCTAAACTTGTAGAGCCTGTGCATAATTTCTTTGAAAACGTCCACGAGTATCACAAGCGACCATTTGAAATGGCACAGATTCAGGATATGCACATGTACATGTAGCTTAGGAAAATTGGTTGGTTGTATCCCTGAGTTGATTAGTTATTCCCAAAACCTGTGTTTGTGTACATGCAAACATATTGAGGCAAAATGGACCTTACCAACGATTTGTGACACAAAACAACCATTCAAAGCTGTGATTTAACCACCCAGGGTTTCTGAGCTGTACACACACATACTGTACCTATCCTTTACAGGTCCCTACATCACAATGCATACATGTACATGTGCACCATGTGCATTGGAGTTCAGTACATTAGTAGTTAATGTAAGATGTCTAATTTGAAACAAGAAATGTAGACTTCTAATTCACCCCAAATTGAAAGAATTCATTGTTTATGTTCCCATGTACATGTACCCCGGTAGGTTTTGGTTGGACAGTCCCGGCGTAACACTCCCATGAAAAAAACATGTATTTATCACATAGTTCACCTCACAGTCCGGTCCACTTGTTCCCATGAATTTATCTGATAAATTATTCACTGTGAATCAGTAGATGACTGGCATACATGAATGTTCATCATCAGTGAGAGATCTTTTATCTCATTAATGTACACGTACAAATATGACGAAGAAGCCAAGCCCAGAGGTACCGAGCTGCTCAGTAAAGTGCCACATACATGTAATTTGCGAGACAGATGAGTCATCATAAGCGACATCCCAGTCACTCATTCTCTCCAAGACACTTGGCATGGATATCCCTGACATTTGACATGTTTTTGTGAACCAAAATGCCAGTGAAGATGTCTCCCTGTACATTTGTACAACATGTACACTGGTACTTCATTTCCATCAGCCAATGAAGACTCGGAGATCCAAACAATGAAATTTCCTTAGATGCACATTTTGCATAACATTCTACTGTACTTTAAGTGAATTGAAAAATGGTCGCACGCGTATTTAAATTATCAGTACATTTCCTTATAACTGATCGGATTTAAGTGCCTTTTTTCCAGGAAGTTTTTTTTTCAGTAATGTCATTAGAAACATTGTGATACCAATTTTATGAAAATGTTACTTTTTTTCACAAAATGCCAATTATTTCCAGACAGTAAGCCTTAAATGCTTAACTTTTCTCAATGTCATAACGCTGTCATGAACACTGTTTTTTTTTTTTTCACTGGCCTTAAATGATCATGTGACAGGGCAACATAACCATACAGTATATATCACACTCAACGTTGGACATCAGCCAGCCTTCTCGTTCTGCGATATCATGTACACAAATGCACTCGCCCCTGCACTGTACAGGGTTATAATGGAGGGAGGGCTAAATTGCAAATGTTGACACATTCCTTTGGTGCCCTTAATTTCCCTCCAAAAAAAAAAAAAACCAACAGATGTAAAACATCAAGGAAGCAGGAGGGTGCTGTTCATCCCTGAGGGTATTTAAAATGTCATATCCCACACCACAGCAGTAAACCATTGTTTAAATGCATTCAGAGCAACACATGAGAGGCAATAATATAAAATCTGAGGGTTTTTTGTTGGGGGGAGGTAAGAATTGGAGGATTCAGGACTGTTGGGGGGAATGTCACTGGACTGCGCTGAAAATATATCCTCTGTTCTCTTATTTCTGTGAACACATCTGTGGTTCTTTGACATTTTGCCTGCTGATTTTCATGTTAAAACCAAATTTGTCACATTCTAATCCTCAAACTGTGGATATATTACGTGTTTATTGCTCCAGAAGCACATTGATTTTCAGGCTGTGTAAGAAACATCTGATAAAGATTTATGGACCATGACCATGCCTATGTGGGGATAATATGTAAATACATGTACGGATTAAATCTGAAGCAGGTATTTACATGTACATGTACATTCAGGGAAGTACTTACATGTACTTGTCTGTTTAGGGCTGGTACAGCTAGAATTCAAGAGGACCATGTGTTACAATTATTCTAAGACAACCTTTGAAATTGCAACCTTTGTGTTTCAATCAGCCTTGTGTTCCATTTTTCTGTTGCCACATGTAGTTTGGCACCGTTTTTATGCCACTCTGCATGAGCGAAACTGGGATGTCATCTGCATGTAAGGCACCGAATCTCAACCTTGCAATGATTTGTGCACCAAAACAAAATGCTGGATGTTTACATTTTGCAATCGTAAGTTTCCATTTCTTGGGCAATATACTGTTGTTGAGTTACACGGCAATAGGCCAGTGAGCAACCTTTTCTAAGAAACGTTTTCAAAAAAAACACATATGGGGTCCAGACTTTAAACTTGGAAGCGTGTGAAATGAAGCGAGTGTTCCCCGACTTACATCACAGCAACAGCGCCCTCACTCCTCGGGAAAAGATGGGACACTTTTTACTGTTTTAAAGTGCACTTCCAATGCACTTAAGTCCTAATGGATTTTGCACAATTTGTATACATTGAGTAAAAAGATGCATAAAAGTGAGTCTAGGAAACATTTATTGCCAGTTTCCTTTAATGGCTAAGCTATACATGTACATCATACATGTATGTGTACTTATACAATGTAATGTACTGTACCTCTGGCAAGGATAACAGTCCACCTTTGTTTGGGGTCATACCCTGAGTCTTGACAAAGAAAACATTTAACGTTTGACCCAGTTTTATATAGCTTTTAATACCAGTACATGTTGCTTAAGAACTTGACTCATCAAAAAAAAAAAAAAACAGAGTAATACCAGCAATCCTAAATTAAGAATAGCAGTCTACGAGTTTGGAACACTGCTGTTTGGGCTGTTGAAATTCTGCGGGAGTCAGTTCTGTCTCCAGAAGAAATTAGCTGCCAGAACATGAGCTGTTGAAGCTCAAAAATCATCCATTTTGGAAAGGATACGCACTTATGCAGTGTCAAAGAGTAAGTTAAACTCTTGGGAAAGGAAATACATGAAGCTTTCTTATCAGTCTACTGATATGGACATGTAGGCCTATACATTATGAAGTCTCAAATTCAGAAAAGAAAAGAAATATAAATACCAAGTGAAACTGAAAGTAAAACACCTTGAATCTACATGCACTGTAGTAAAACTAGACAAAATTTACAAGAATATTCAGATGACTGTTAAAGGAATATCAATCCTTTTGAATTTTTTTGCAAATTCCTTGTCCCTTGTGAAACACCAAGCAAATCAGAAACCTTTAAGTTGTCAAAGAGAATTGTGCCATTAAATGTGCCAACCTATTCGTTTGCCACCATTGGCACACATACATATACATGTATGTGTACAGCTAGGCACTGTAAACATCCTGTACATGTACTCTGCGTGTGCATGGACAGCCACTGCCAACCAGTTCTCAAACCCTTGACCTATCAAGGTATCAAGTATTACCATCTGGACCACTTTTGATTGCAATAGTTAGACAATTCCAAAGGGTCACTCAACCTCCATGCTTTAACTGACCTTACTCCTTATTAGTATTCAGTGAGGTACAATGGAGTGTATGCATGCTAATCACAGAATCCTTTGCAGGAAATATGTGCAAACCCTCACCTTGACAGAAAAAAAAGGTACATGTTACACTCGGATTCCCTCCCCCTGTATTTATGGAGGGACATGTACATGTTGAGGAAGAAATTCCTTCTTCCTTTGTCACGCACAACCACCTCCAAGGCACAGCACCTGGTGTCTGTAAATCATAAGTAGAAAGTTATGAAGTTCTTCTGGTTTTGCAATACCCCCTGCCTGTGATGCAAAAACCGCATCACAGACATACATGTACGGTATTGTTAAAAGCCTGACTGCAAAGAAGCAATGGCAAACATCCGAGGAAGTACATGTACGTGTAGTTATTGCTAGGAAAGCTCATGCAATTTTATACCTCTCCCATTAGTCTATAAGCAAGTTAGTCTATAAAGTGTTACCTCCTGTTTGCCGTTGTACTGTACATGGACTAACATGGCTACCCACAGTCTTTTTTTTTTCTTGGCCAAGAAACAGAGCTACGAGTAAATTTCCCAATTTCAGTAGAATCTTTACTGCAGTAATGATGTAGTTTTATGTTATTTAAAAGCATTTTGGAGCTTTTTCCTATAAAGAGAAAACAGTTTTTTCACTTAAATATTTTCAAGTAGCAAATTTTGGGTTCACAATTGGAACAGACCATCCCCCCAGACATGTGCCTTCCTGTATTCACAATATCAGTGCCCTCACTTGGTAGGAAAAGCATCAAGCATTTAAATTTTCTTTTTTTAACTGCCCTTTTCATTGAGATTAATCAAGCAGAGTAGTCTGATACAAAGTACATCATATCATGTGCCAAGTGGAATTTGGAAAGTTTTCACTTGTCCCAAAACCTGTCTGGTGCTTTCTCTTTTTATTTGCTCCCGGAGATCCTTCATATCATCACACAAGTACTACATGTACAGTACATGTACATGTAGTTTTGTTATGGCTGGTTTTTGCAAAAGCAATGCTGGCCGTGTATATGCACGTGGCAGATACCAACTAAGAAACCATGTCTTTAACACCTGTTGAAAGAAATTTGACTTTCAGACAGGGTCAGTAAAGCCTTGCCAAGCACATGTAGGCCTGTTTCCAATTGTTCTGACAACGAATTTCTTCTCATGGAACCATTTAAAGTTACATATATTTATGTATTTACTCATTCTTTTCAAAGATGCATTCCTGACCTAAGTTGTCCTATCAGTCAAAATCAGTCACATGACCCCTATGTGTCTGTGTACTGTGGCAAATCGTGGAAAGGAATTTTTGACTGTCTGTGACTGTTAGTGTTACAGCACTAAACAGTTGATAAACCTACAATGTAACAAAGACTGATGTGCAAAACTCATCCCCTTGATTATTGCCTGGTGATAACTGGGGAAAATGAATAGTGTCACGTTATCAACAGTTTGACTTATTGAGAGAACTTATTAGTCAGTGTACAATGTATGACCCAACATTTGTAACATATGCATGAATTATCAAGCACTCCAAATTGACTCATGATCTTTTGACAAAAACGGTCAGAAATGTAATACTCCTCATATACATGTAAAGGCTGTGTACAGTGGTAACTCGACAGGAATCGCTGTCACAGTGAGAGCAGCCCGGTAGGTCATAAAGAAGGAGCCACACATTCCCGCAAGATTGTATTTTTAATATCAAGAGTCAGCAACAGCCTCAGCCAGGCCTGGAGGCTATCCAGACAGCCCTGTGCCCGTCGTGTACTGTACCTTGGCCAAAAATTACACAAAAAAAGATGCACGTTGGAGCACCACTGTTCTCACTTACATGCACATGTACACACGCCTGACTTGGTCCGAGGCATGAACACAACGGAGCATCTGGTCCAGTGTAGAAGGTGGGGAGTTCGGCAGGGGACCGGCAGGGGAAGCTGGGGCTGGCATCTTCCCCTGGGTCTGATACCCAAAGGCTTGCCCTCATGGGGTCACCTCATCTCATCTAGAGGCTGGCAGATACTCTCACTAGCACCCACAAAGAGCCAAGAAACAGATGTACATGTCCATGTACCACCACCATCCACAAGATCCAGCTGAACACAACAGCACACTCTCAAACAGCTCAGTACTGTACATACACAGCCAGATTAACGGTGCACACCAGGCAGTTCTCTACCAATCACTGTATAATGTGGTGCTGTGCGGGTGCGTGTGCATGGCCATCAAGAAGTGTGCATGCCTTGCCCATGCTACACATTCAGAAAGCTGTTTACATTGTTATTCATGCACTAGCTACCAGCAGATCACGAGGCCGGTTTTAGACTACCAATTTTATGCAGCGATGGCTTGCACACAAGAAAGCCACTGTGGGTCCCTTCATGACCAAACTCTAGTCACTGTGGTGACCTTTACATCTCACAGAGGTTTGCACAAGACTATCAAAACTGCAAAGCAGCCTGTCTCTTGAGGACATCCAGTGGGACAGAGTGGAGAATTGATGTGACTCTACACCCATCTGTGGAGTAATTTGGTATCATGTGGCTCAAAAAGGAACTCCATTTCCAAACAGCCAATCACTGCAGTGATTATTCATCACGTTCGTGTCGTTCCGATTGCCTCGCAGAAATAGGTATTGCAACAGTAATCTGATTGGGTGGGCTTGCCTTACCTGAATTTACAAGTTTGTGTCTCTTTTCTTTCTTTGTTTTTGAGGGGAAGGGTGTGTTTTGTATTGTTCTGTTTTTAATTTAGTTTGGGTATGGATTCTGTTTTCTGTACCATGTGGGATAGTTTCTATTAACACTTTAAACTTGTTTAATAACAAACAATACTTAACAAAGACAAAAAAATTGTTGGGGGGGAACCTTCCCTTCCCTTTGTGTTTATCCATTCAGCTCTGCTTGTTCATATATACATTGCAGGTCCAGTGCTGTAACCCATTCATTTGTCTTTCAGCCTCTGAAGAAGAACTGGTGTTGGAAACATCAGCACCCACTATTATCGATTTTAGTTCTTTCCAATCAATGAGCAGTTTGCAGCAGCTTCATCTTGGCGTTTTGCAAAAGAATTAGTATTTATTTTAAACTAATGTAAAAGCACAGACACATGCACCGCAAATAGAGCAAATATGAAAGTAAAATTGGCACTAATTATTAACAATCAAGTTAACACAGAGATAAAGCTTAAAAGCTGAAGGCCTAGAGCTTGAATTCAACAGCCTGTGTAAAAATATGCAAGTACGTGTAGGTGTGCCGGTACAATGTACATGTACATGTTATGGCTTGAATTTCAAAGATCTACAACTTCATTTTGCCTTGTCACAGCATGACAGAGCATATGTACTCTCCCGAATGTCATAAACTTTTTGCACTTTCAAGATTCTAACCAATTCTTCCTTGTAGAAGGGAGATAAATTTTCCTCAAACAGTACATGCTATGATTTGCAAACCTGATTTTGGTGGGAAATGCAGTTGATTCACCACATGATCTAGACAACGACAAATGCGAGATACCGAACGGTACACATGTACTCACTGCCTGGGGAAATTGCTTGCTATTAATTGGATGCATTTAAGGCAGTGCAGTTCCCTATTTACACAGGACAATGGGCGTTCATCATAATGGAGCTGTGGTCTACAGGTTTCTATCCTATTGGGGTTTCCTCGCTCTCTTCCCCACAACTGATGTACCATAACCTAATCAGCCTTCCTGGTCATTCAGAGGTTAAAACATGCTAAAAGCTGTTTGAGGATTATATGACATTTGTAGGTTTAATAATTAAATCATGTAGACAAGGGCCCATCATTAAAAAAAAAAAGGTTCAAATTGAATTCATGTACATTGTACAAATAGAGTAAAAAATTGGACTCACACACACACACATATACATGTATGTTCAGGATCACTCTAAAGAGGCAACCCAAAAGTAACATTCCTATAACGCAGAAACCTCTTTTACTTTCCACTATTAAAAACAACAAACAGGATTCTGAAATGATCAATGTGGTTAATATTACACAAGTAAAATAAGACCAGCACTTGTAACAAATTGACTGCAGTAAACTGCAGAGGTTCAAATGACGTTGCTTTCTCGTTGCATTGAACTCTGAAACTGCCCAACCGTTGCCTTCTGAATTAAACATCAGTTTCGTTAGGTTTTGAGCTGGAAAGAGGTTTGACAAAAGTAAGAAACCCAAAAATTAGGATATAAATTCAGGGATTTAGAAACTAAGGCAGTGATTTTCAATGAATATGGAATTTCTTCTTGTTAGAATGAGACAACGTTGGTCCGCCTTTGCTAAAGTTAATTCCTGATTATTTGGTTGTGCATACCAAAGCTTTCACAACAGCCATTGCCCTTTAATAACCTGTGCAGGCATTTAACATTGGCAAAGATTTATTGCTTCACTTTGACCTGGGGCCTTCAGACAGTATGTCACTCTGCCTCTGCACTACTGACAGGAAGCTGTTCCTATTGAGAACATGGAGGAAGGATGCCTCCCTTCATGTTACGAGGTGTAAAACTGACAAAATACACCCAGTGGTTTAGATGGGGGAGGGGGCAACCTCTCCCCAAGGAACTCTTCTCCCAGCCAACCTGGGGGAGGGGAGTTTAGCTCTACTAGCCAAGGTGAGGGGAATTTTAAGGCCTCCCCCCTCAAAGAGCCAGGCTATGCAACTGATAACAGTTAAATCTAAATTGTAGGTTTACATATAAGTTGCAAGGTCAAAGGTGTGTCAACTTTTTGTGTTCATTATTTTTTTATGGCACGTACATAACGGCTTGGAGTATTACCATATTTGGATGGTCTATTAAGTGACAAATCTTGCGCAATCTGACCAATCACAAGGCTTGTTCTGGCAGCCTGCAACAGATTGTATGGGTTACAGGTTGCTTTTCAAAAACATGGCAGCATATGGAACAAAAACACTAAGTTAAAGAAAAATGCCAATTGCAAAATTTGATTGGCTGTGCAAAAAAACCTGACCACCGACATAAACTAAAAGTCCTTAAACATGTTTGTTCCGGTGGGATTTAAAATTTGTTGTTGCCAACTTGACATACTTAAAGTTGAATTTGAAAAAAATTGCTGTATCAGTAGGGAAAGGTCACTATGCCCATATGTGGTCATACTCTAGACTGCATATGTAGAGTCACTTTTTTCTGTTAACTTTCCACTGTGATTTCAGCTTGTGACCTGCAATACCGTAGTACTATACCCCAAAACCGTGTACACACTCCCATTGGCTGGAAGTGTGCAGTTAGACCAGCAGATGAGTGTCAGACATCAAATGGTGTGGGAATGTTGGCAGGTGTTGCAGCTTTGTATGTATGATGTCACTCTGTTGTTTTCCCTCAGCACCCAAAGTTGTTTAATGTTTGGTTGGATTGGTAGGGTGATCAGGTTGCATGCAGACAGGTTGATCATCTCTTGTGTATCTCAGCTATTGGAGGCCTAATCTTTCCCCGTGTTCACTGCCTGGCCAGGTAGACAGTAATTCATGAAAGGATAATCACATCAGGTCAGGGCCAAACAGTTCAAGGAGACAGGTGGTCTTATTCCCTCCCCTTCTTCCCCCCTTCCCAAGAAATAAACACAGAAATTGAGCGAAATTACATGTATTTTCAAATAACTCGAAATATTCTGTCAGGAAACAAGCCCACTGAGGAAGTATGATTTGAAATTCTGTTAGTTTCAACAGACCTCTCTCTAGAAATTCTACATCACAATGCCAAACAGTGGCTGGTAAATTTTGGAGGAGTGTGGCTGGCAAAAGCATAAGTTAAAATAGCAAGCATCAGTAAAATGCAAAAAAAAAAGGTACATGTACATGTATGATATGGCCTTCTTGAAAGGTACCTGGGCAAATATACATTTGAAGCAAAATCTGACACCAGCAGAGGGAGATATACATGTATTTCTTCAAACTTTGGCCTCCCGTGCAAATAGTAGACATGGACAATATGGCGGTTTATTCCTGTCAATCAAAGGATGACAATGTCAGGCCAGCACTGAGATGGGGTCAAAGATAAGGAAATACCTGCCAGAAACAGCTTACAGCATGGGTCCCTAGCATCTAGTGAGGTAGTTTTTGCCCAGAAGCAATCTCCAATAAGAACACCATGTGTGCTTGTTCATGTATGTAATTACCATCTGGCATTAGAGTAAACACCTGTTCTTTAATTTAGCAGTTCTGTGTATCAGGTATATAGGACTTTCAGATCAGTGCTGCTGGATGAGGCTTTGAATGGGTGCACATGTACAGTACATGTAACGTCCATGCATAGTGCTTGAGCCTGTTTCTGACAGGGCTGATTGATTTGCACATACATGTACTGTGCATGTATATGGATGTCAAACACATATGGTGATGCCACCTTGCAGCAGAACTACAAATCAAGTTAACTTGTTTTATACCAGAAGTGAACTGACAGAGAAAGGTATTTCAATGCTCAGTGAAGACAGGTATATAGATAGAAAGCTTGAGAAAATCACTTGTTTTCATTAGTTTGTCTCAGCTGTTTAACTGATATATTAAATATGTATAAGAGCAGCAGTGCTTGAGTACCATCCCAGCCTCTCTTGTCTTCTTGGTCAAAGAACAGATAGTTTTCACAAAATGCACGGCGCATCAGAAGCCTGAGCCAATGTGGCCTTTTTTGTTAACCTCTGAGAAAGCAATCCATCAGAAGAAAATTTAAGTTGTAAGTGATTGGTGTTAAATATTGAGCCACAGAAACCCTATGTTTCTCCCACACTAATTTAGCAATTGATTTGATCAAATACCGCTTTTTTTTTCCCATGTGAGTCCATTCTTGACAGAATCCTCACTTCTTGCCCGAATAGGAATGGTTTTGGAAAGCCTAAAGTTAGAGTAGCCAAAGGTTAATGGATGAGGTGTGATACCGTGGAGGTCAACCAGTGAAGTACTTTACGGGTATTTGCTAGCACCCCTCCCCCTTTGTAGAGCACAATGATAACAGACTGCAAGCGGATTTGTCATCAACCAGCTATTGTCGGCCCACTGTGCTCGCATTCTCATGAATCCGACTTGCAAGTCCACAGTGTGAATGAACATGAAATTGACCTATACATTTCTTTTCTTTGCCCCAAGGCTGGCTTTTTTTTGATGAAGAAAAATCGAAAGCAGTTCTCTAGCCTTACACAAGCCTGCAGATGTGTTGTCAATTTTTAATGGGAATTTCTGCTTGATTTAATACATGCTGTTTGAGCTACCCAAAATTTAATTTAAAGAACCTGCTTAGTACCGGTAGTTTGAGGTTCTAACTCTTGTAAAATGATGAGTTTCTTGCCAGCTTTCCAAAAGACTTGGGGAATATATGCGCTTTTTTATATTTCCCGTCATTATTTAAAGATCATCCCTTAAAAAGTTACAAAACCTTCTGCTCCTTTGTTCATGTCCTTGTTTACGTTTCTTTAGACTATGGAGATTTTATTCAGCATTTATACAGTTAACTGTAATGCGCACTGTGCACTTGGTCAGTATTTACATATGTAACTTACTGT